ACAATTATTAACTTTTATATTAGTATTTATTTTAATAAGCCTTTATTAAAGTTTGTAACTAAGTGAATGTTTGTATCTATTTGGTCTACTTGATGGTATATACAGTATTGGCAGATTTGTGGAATAGATCTAAATTAGAGTTTTTGGATTTTACAATTGTAGAATGCATAATAGCTAAAATTTTGGGATCAGTTTTACAATTGTATTGTTAAAATAAATAAATCTTAATTCTACAAATTTACCAATATAATCTAATTTATCAATTAATTAAAATTGCAAATAGATTTAAACACTTTTGAATACCTGGCTACTTAAATGTTAAACAGTGAAAACGCCTTATATGTATTACTATTAATATTTTTTAAATATACTGTAATATACATATTCTTTGATTGGTTTGCGCCACGATATCACGTGCTAGTAACTTTGTGGCGTACTAGGGTTGTTGACAAAAGGTTTTACGTATACATTTTGTGTTTCAAGAAACTTGAGATGCATGCTTATATAATCAACATAGTATAACGAAAAATATTTATGAACATATAGTTTTTAATTTAGTTTTCTTGGCCAGCGCAATAATAATTCTGGCAGCCTGTATAATAAATTTATCAATTAAAACTGACTGATCAAATTCGGTGAAAAGTTAAATACCTTAAAATTCATTACAACTACACCGATAAAAAAATTTAACCGATAATCATTCGGCGAATTCGACAAGATATTGATTTTGGTATGTTCATGTTCATTGATAGAATATCTTCACTATGCTACTTTATTTCTTTTATGTTACCATAAAGGATAGGCATAGAATCTCTTACTATAGGAAGCTAGGACACCAAATCTTACGAGTTTGACAAATATATAGTTAGTAATAAACAAATTCATTTGTCTTTAAAGAAATTATATCTAGAAAATGGTAATATTATTTATCTGTTCGAAACCCCGTGCATACAAATCTTATAAAACTTTGACCCAGTTCCGTTAATTATTCTTCGCTATTATATAAACAAGATAGAGTTACCGTTCATAAATCCATTTATTATTGGAACTAAATCTATATATCGAGGACATATGCTCAATTTATCAGTGGATTTTAGAACAGCTGAATTTTCGATGATTGAATCGAAACGATAAGTTACTGAGCCGGAATCAATAAATCACCGACATTGATCTTGTAGTTGTTTGATTGAATTGGATCAAAAAAAACTCTGCCTCTTAGAAAAGTGGCTGTGCTAACCTTTAAAGGTTTCTCGATAACTATCTCCTAATCGAAATTTGATGAAAATTTCTAATTAAATGAATATTACAATTATAGAATTTATTTCATCGGATTTGCAGTTATCAATTTAAAGCTATAAATTACGTTTCCGGGATGGATTACAGATTTTTTTTTTTTTAAATTATAACGGTCTCTGGATTGGATAGAAATTTTTTAAGGAAAGAATTGATTTAAAAATTTTATTGTCTTGTTATGTAGGTGCATGATCGCGTGGAACTGGTAGGTGTCCTAATTAGTTTTTGATATTGTAGTCGATTTTGGCATTAGTCAAATTAAGCAGATTTATTAAATTGACTAGTCAATTAGATTAAAAAGCATTAATCGGAAGATTTCGGAGAACTATTCAAAACTTTATATACATGCGTAGATATATTATAGTACTTTTTCCATAGTCTGGCTTAAACTTCAGCTTAATCGTATCGGCAAGTGGACTAGGTACAAATTCTGAAATACATCTTATCCATAGCTTGGTAAAGAATTTTACGTACGTACGTATAACTTTTATCTGGTTCAATAATTGCCTCTGGATTTGGGATTATTAAGTTCTTTAAAAAGTAAGTGATTGTCCAATCAGAAAATGATATTCTATTAAAAATGTAAGATGTTGATTTATTGTCATATGTCAACTATATTACAAGTTCCTCCTAAATTATCTTAAATTGATAATTTTCAACGTAGAGGATCTAATCAAAGATTATGATCCAATAGCGATAAGTGTACAATTCCGGTGTTACGTTTTACTTGACACTATGTACGTACGTACCTGGTACGTACGTACGTACGTACGTACGTAACTACTCAAAAACAGAACCAATTGTTTGTCACAGCACGACTGACTTAAAGACTTACAAGTCGACATCGGATTTAATTGAATTATATCGATATATATATTTTCTGTACATAATTTTATTTATTTTTTGCCAATTTAGATACTTATCTATTGAACTTTAATAGCATTTAACGCGTGGACTTTAGAGTGTAAAAGACTTTCCATACATATTTATATTCTACATTCCGGCGCCCGTATTACGAAACCTTCTAGAAGAATTCGTTGGTTAGTACAAAATTATGGGCGACAAAGATTTATATTCAAAGGAATCCAGGAGTTCCCAGGGTCAAATTCGCGAAGTCACCAGCTCTTTAACTGAAGAAAGTGACCCTTTCTTGGCAAATCAATATTCCGGTTCCGCTACTTTATCAAATCGTACTTCTTCTGTAGTAGATACTGACAATGAAGATTCCTCAATGTTGTCAAGTTCTAGTAAGGCCTTAAAAAAAGATAAATATTCTTCCTCTACTACAACAAGAAAATCAAAAAATCCTATATCAACAAATGATATTACAACAAACGAATCTTATTCGGGTCTATCGCCTGAAACTCAGAATATTATAAACTCTATAAAATTTACTGAAAAAAAAAAAACAAATGTTTCACGTGCCATGGTAGAAGAAATTTTAAGAGATGCAAAACTTAAAGCTACTGCTCGTGCTATTGAAAACAATCTTTCATCTGGTTCAACGAAAAAGTTGGATACTTCTCGTTTAGCAAGTTCTAAATCAATGTCTTCTGTTGGAAATACTTTAGAAAATAAATATAATTTTAATCCATTATCCACATCCGATCAAGATGAAAAAAAATCAAAACTCGATCAAAAACAAGATTCTTTCACTAATGATGAAGTAGCTGAAAATCCTAAAGTACAATCAACAAATCGTACTTATTCCCGTTTGCTCCCATCTCGTTTGGCAAGTTTAATGGGAATTAATACCGGTAGTTCTACTACTGTTGACTCTTCAAAAACTGAATCAAAACTTGAATCTACTACTTCAACAACTGATGATTTATCGACTATACGAACTGGAAATAGTACTAATCATGTGACTGATGTAGATACTTCTCGAAATGTTAGTCAAATTAAAGAGGATAATAAATTTAATCAAATTACAAACGAAAGCAATGTATCTAAACCTACTTCATCTAATAATTCTGAACATTCAAAACAAACTCCTGATATAAGGGTTGATACAAATGTAGGCAGAACTTCTCGTAAAGAACAAAAATATGTGGTAAGAACTACTGCTTCCCCTCGATTTACAAAGAAACGTGGTGTAGTTATTCGTCGTTCAAGTGCCAAGATTATACCAAAACATGGTTCTGAGGATGATTATCAACGTACATCAAAAAAACCGGTCAAAACTGTTGAGATATCTAGCGAATTAGATGAAATAGATGCTCGATTTCAAGAAACTCTTACTGAATTTTCTAAAAGATACCAAGATTCAACTGTTGCTCTCGCTGAAAAATCTTACCTTTTAAAGAGGAATCAAGAATTATGGCATACTTTAGCTGCTAAAGAAGAGGAAATTGAATATCTTAAAAATGAATTATGGCAAGCTGGAAATAAAATTCAAGATTATGAATCTGATCTTAAAGATATTATTGAACAACAACAAGAACCTCTTACACTTACTCAAGAAGATTTAATACGTATTGAAAGGGAAATTGATGATCAAGAAGTTTTAATTAATGATTATCAAAGAGAAAATGATAAATTAGTTGGTGAAATAAAGAATTTGAATGAAAGATTGCGCGTTACTGAAGAAGAGAGAGAAAATCATTATAATAAAATTAATGAGTTATATAAAGAAATTGAACTATTAAAGGAATCTCTTTATGAACAAGAAACTAAAGAAATAGTTCCGGATGGTACTATGCGACAAATTGATACAAACATTCACTTAGTTACAAACTTTAATAAAGGCTTATTAAAATAAATACTAATATAAAAGTTAATAATTGT